CACCGAGATTTCGAGCGCCCCTCGGCCTGCCACACTTCCTTCGATGGCAACGTCATCGGCTGGACCTCCGGCGCTTCCTACCCCGGACTCTTCAATTCTGTTGCAGCTCGTGCGGCACTCTCTGTCGTCGCTGAATCCATGGAGATGGCTCCTGCTGGTCCGCCTGCGTCTGCTGGTGGCCCTCCACCACTCACCGAGGATTCATTGCGCGCCATGCTACCTGAACGTACGGAGGCGTCGGCCGATCATATGATTACCTCGATAATTCCGTACTTGCCTGCGATGGCTCGTCAACGAGTACAGCTCAACGTTGCGCCTCCTCTTCATGGCGATGCTCACACATAACGCCACCTCGAGACCGCCATGGGCTTTGACGAAATCCTCGCCGCTATACAGCCTCTTCCCGATGCGCTTTCGGCGTTGACCGACCGAGTCATCAGCTTGGAGCGTCAATTGCGGGCTGTCCAGACCGAGGCTGCTGCCGCCGTACGCTCGGTGGCACCCGAAATTATGGCTGGGGAGAACGCAGAGGCGTACCACAAGGCTGCCGACGCCAAAGCCGAAGCGCTTCGCAAGGACGTCAAGATCCTCCTCGATCCGAACGCCAAAAATGATGCCATGCTCGCGAGCGTTCGGTCCCCCATGGAGCAACATACGGAGGACTTGAACCGTTGGCACTGCGAGGTCCAAGCGCGGGACGCATTCATCGCCACCAAGAACATGAAGCCGGCCCGTAAACGTGAAGTATACAAGTCTTCAATTGGCGCGAACACTGAACAGACTCGATAACTTCATCTCCTCTTGGTCAAGCTTTCCAAGGGTAAGTACGTCGACAACGACACGGTCACGGCCCTCGAGAACCAGCAAGATCGCAAGACTCGCATCCTCCAAGTAAATCGCACTCTCCGTGCACACGCAAGTCTGGCAGAGATTGATCCGGAGGTACTGCGTCTGGCAGTTGATGGTACGTTCTCACGTTGTTCTTTCCACCGTGAGTTCAGCAACTAACGTTTATTCACGATCTTTCGTGACATTTCTTACTGCGGGTTAGCTGACACTTGACCTTCTGGACTTGGACCAAGAGACGTTGGTCGCTTTGCGGCGCATCCAGTCTGCTGCCGCGTCTTCGGATGACCCAAAAGCTCTTCCTGTAGCTTTGGCGAAGGCGACTCATCAAGTGGCTCATGGGAAGGTTCCCAAGCGTCATCGACCAGGTGGCAAGGAGTCAGACGACGCGTTGGACGACTCTGACGAAGGCAAGTCCCCCATCCCGACGAACAAGGCCAGTACTTCAATAGCAGCTGCTGGTCTCGGTGATGTGCCACCTGCCGCCACTTTGACTCCCAAGTCGGCACGTCGGTCGCTGTTCAGCCCGAAGGCATGAAAGCAAGCGGCCCAGAAGAAGCACCAGAAGACTTGCCTTCGCTCTCCCGCCAAGTCGCCCCGACGTCGTATGAAGACTCGGTCTAAGTCTGTACCTTCTTCTCCTCGCTCATGGTCGCCCCCCCCCGCCCCCCCCCCACACACACACCAACGCCAGTGCTCCCGCCGTGGTTGACCTCAGCAGTGACCAGAGTGACGTGGTTATGGTGGATGTTGGCTCAAGTGGTGTCCCGTCGGCTAAAGATATTATCACCGAGTCTTATAATAAAGCCGTGGGCTCTGGGGATCACGACGATGCTTCCGGTCTTCGTGACGCGCCTTCGTCTCCGCCTCAAGGTCCTCCGGACGTGGCCAAGCCACCAGCGTCGAAGATCTCTCCTTCTCCAGCTGATATACGTGCCGCTGAAGAGGCTTTGCGTGAGGCGGAGGACATGCGACTCATGTTCGGCTCAAGTAACGAAGGTGAAGGATCGGACAACACCGTCCCATCAGGCAAGGCCGCTTCGTTGTCTGCTGCGACTTCCAAGACGGTTGAAGTCTCGGGAGTGGTTTCTACAGCAGGGCTTGCCCCTATTGAAGCTGCTTCACAAGCCTCCGTATCTTCAAAGCCGGCTTCGACTGTTCCAACAGCTGCCGCGCCAAGTGCTTCTTCGACCGATTTTTCGATGGAGATTGGTGATGATGGAAATGTTGATGACGATCGTGGAGATAACGTGGATGACGATGAGCTTTCGGTGGATGATTCTCCTGATAGTACAAGTGGTGGCGGTGATGTTCCGCCACCTACCGAGCATTCAAGCACAGCTGATGACGAAGATGTTGAGGATTCGGACGGCAACTGGAGCGGGCTTGGTCCTGCTCGGCCTCCGACGCCTCCTCGGCCAAATCCTTCGCCGATGGTGACCTCCCCGATCATAGTTGGTGGTCCGCCTCCTCCGTCATCGCCAAGCCCACAAGCACCACCATCTTCGCCTCCTGCTCCGGCGTCTCCTCGTCCGTTCTCTCGGACTCTCGATGATGGACCTGGGCGAAAGATCACGGCCACCTACACTTCGGTGCCTCGTCGTGGTGGCGCACCGTCGGCTGAGTCGTTGCCTCACTGCGTGTTGCCTGGTGCTCGCCCTACGGTGCCGGACTCGTCCACCTTGCCACCGTGGGTTCTTCCGTACCTTGATATGAAGCTCGCCGACGCAGGTGCCAAGAATTGTTTCGAACGCCTCTTGAGCATGACTCTTCCGAAACCGGCTGGTGAAGTAGTCGTCCGTACGACGTTGGAGGGTCTCCGAGCGTATTTCGCCTATTCGAATCTTGATCATCTGTACCAGCAGCTCCGGCAGCTTTATGCGGTCTTATGATTCTTGTAATGATTTACGCGCTCGTGCGTAACGCCCACAGGTTCAAGTGTCATCGTATCACGGAGGCGTACACACAAGTTATGAGATTGAGACTTGCGTGGCTACTGTTGTGCACAACAACGAGGGCTACGCCTAGTGAAGAACATCCAGAAAATGCAGGAAACAGATGAAGCAATTAGCAAGGTTATGTCAGCAAAATGAGCAAGAACTCAACAGGCAGCAGTGAGATCATAATCTTAAAGTAGCCAAAAACTGCACTCTTCATACAAACTCTATAAATCCGGATGCTAATCATATGCCTCCGATTCATTGCCCTGAAGGATCACGCCGTAATAGCCTGACCACTTGCCCCAGCAGAACTCCGTAAGACGGAGTGTATCCACTTCGCCCAGGGGTCTCTCCGACGCGTGTAGTCAGCTCGTTGATTGCGTCTGTTTCTCGTACGAGCATCTCTTCGAGCTCTCCGCGAGCGACCATCAGGTCATTTAGCGCCTCCGTCATCGTGTGCACCTTGTTTTGATGCTGTTGAAGCTCGTGAGCTCTGGAGCGCAGGAGCTCGCGTACCAATAATTGCTGATCCATGCCGACACTCTTCTTCGGCTCGCGCTTGTATTTGTAAGATTATCTAAAAGAAACTGAAAATTCGATGTGCCCCTGTTGTAAAATTCTCACTTGCAATGTCACAATTGTGTTACTTCGCCTCTTTACGCTAAAATTGTTGGTAATTTATTCTCGTTATTCAGGGTGCCTTTCAGTAAAAATGGCGCCGCAGTGCGATAAGGGTGCTGATAGGCTGTCGTATTGTTGTAGCCTAATGGTGCTCTAACGCCGTTCTTTGTGGTTTAGCATAGATCCTGAAGTGAAGCGTAGTAAGCGAGAAAAAAAAAACGGAACTCGCTGCTGCTACCAAAAGTAGCCTCTACTTTCGGTGTACTTGTTGTCATATCATGTCAACTTTTGGTTGGCCGTATAGAGCCAGTTATCGCGTTTCGGGATGAACTTAAGTGGAAAAAAAATGCTTTACGGGTGGGAAGCTAACAACTTTTTGAAAATTTAAGGCCCGCGCTTTCGAAGCGACTGGCACTCGCAAATCTCCCCCCTCGGCTGCAAAACAAACTATTCCTGGAGCGGCTCAAACCCTGAAGCTTATTTCTTGGCATGATACATTTGTATGCTACAAGTAGAAGGTTTTGTAATAATAGCTAGCTTGTACGAATGACAGGCGGACAGAGACAACCCCCCCCTCCGTATCCCAGCCACGGCATAGTCTCGCGTGCAACGAAACACAGCAGAGCTTGCGCGCGTTCAGATCCGTCAGAATGAGCGTCAGTTGAGGAATTAAATTAGGCCGGCTGGGTCTAAGCTCCCTTTCTCTGTTGCGCACAATCACTTATCTCTGGCGGCTCATTCCACAAAATCAAATTGCGCGCTCTCGCCAGGAGCAGAAAAATGCGCATCTCGCCATACATGGGCAGCAGCGATTTACTCGCAAGACCGCCGCAAAGCTGAGATGAATCGCGAAGACTGGCTGGGCGATGATAGATGGGAACCTCGTGCTCTGCGACTCCTGTATCCAGAAAACACGATTGCGTGGCGTCGACCGATAATGACCGTGCGTTGGCTGAGGTCATTGCTGCGGAAGAAGATGCAGATGCTTTCGAAGACGCAGGTCCTTTGCCCTCGGCTGACGGGACAGATGACTCTGACTTTCACGATGCGCCGCACGAGTCGTAAATGGACGATGTGCTCGAAGAAGAAGAGGGAAGTAGTGATGAGAATGACATGGACGGAATAAGCGAGGAGGACGAAGACGAAGCTTCTGATGAAGACGAGGAGATCGGAGAGTCTAAATTCTGTGCTGAGCCAAAAATACTTCCGAAAAACAGAAGAGTATGTGTTTCTGTACGTTTCGGGTCATTGAAGAAGACCTACGATTCCTGGGAGACTTTTCACGCCGCATTCGAAGTGTTCCAGCGGGAGACATACCAGCAATTCTTGAAGCGGTCGAGTACGTCAGTGAAGATCCGAAACAACCAGATGACGAACGATTCTGAAGCCGCCGGCAAGCGTGCTAGGAAGGCAGTGAATTTGATTCCAACCTACTGGGAACACTACTCCATCACTTTTAAGTGTATCCACGGCCAGGAATACAAGGCACGTGGCAAGGGAACGCGCAAACATCGATAGGTTCGAGACACCAAGTGTAGTGCAAAGTTAAACGCGCGTGTTACGGCGACTTCGTTTGAAGACTGGGAGCTGAAAATGTCTGCGTCCGGTGTACACAACCATCGTCTCACCAAGGAGCTTTGGGAGAGCTATGCTGAAAATCGAGCTGTGAAAGATGTGCACCTGACCAACGATGGCGAGGTCCTCCACAAAGCTGGTGCCAACGTCAAAGGGATTCTGCAATACCTTCGCGAGCACACAGGTAAATTTAAAAAACATTTTGGTGTGATTTCAGTTTTAAAGAGGGTAAATTTGGTATTTATGGTTTGATTTGTAGGAAGAAAGACGACGCTGAAGGATGTACACAACATGATTCAGAGAATTCGCTGCAAGCAAAGCAGCAACCAGACGGATGCAGAAAGAGCCTTCGCCCTCTTGGATGAGCTCTGCAGCTAAAATGCTGGAAACACCGCCGAGGTTAATGTGGCCAGCGAAGACGATATTGCTCGTGTCGTCACATTCCAGACTTCGAAGATTAAGCGTCTGTTCTCGGCATTTTCCGGGGTTGTGATGGTGGACTCAACCCATGACACTAACGTGAATCGGTACAAGCTGTTTAGCTTCGTGGTGCACGATGTTTTCAGGAAAGCATGGCTGTAGCGCCTTACGTAATGTATAATTGAGGAGTCTCTAAGAATATATATGATGTATCATTTTCGTGTAGAGTCAATACGTCCACAATGCACTCGTGAAAAGCGAGCGTAAGGTTAGTTTGCGCAAGGTGGTGGACATATTCAAGAAAAACAATTCAGATCCGCACAAGATATGCGTCATTTTGACCGACAAAGCTGCCCATGAAAAGGATGTCCTGCGCGAGATAATTCCGCAGGCCACTCAGCTTATCTGTCAATGACATCTGTTGACGTGGCTGAAGAAGCAAGCAGCCCGTATGGCAAAGCCTGTGAGCAAGGAAGTGAAGGCTCTAATGAGTCTTCTGGTCTATGCAAAGTCGGAGGAGGATTACGAGGATTCAAAAGGCGCCATGCTCCAGGTGCTCGGCGGTAAAGAGAATCATTCTCTATTCAAGACTTTCACAGAAAATTAAGATAAGTCGCAGGACCATTGGGGTCGTACAAGCGCAGAAATGTCCCGCACCTGACGAACAACACTAATAACCGTATCGAGTCAAAGTGGGGGATGATAAAAGATGTATCTTTACAATCGATCAGCTTGTGACGACGCTTATTATTCTACAAGAATACGCTGAAGAGCAGTACATTGCAGAGTTTAACCGCGTAGGAGGGAGGCCAAGTGGACTAAACGAGGGCCCTGATGTTCTACACAAAACCGATGCTAGACACTCTAGTAATTCCTACCGTTGAGGTGCGTGGCAAGTTATCCGTGAGGTCGCACGCGGTCGACGAAGACATCCCCGTCGTGAAATCCATCCCCCAGATGAACAAGATCATGAAAGCTATCGAAGCAATCAAGATAAGAGACGATAATGACCTGCTAGCTTATTGGCCTGACAACGGATTTGCAATGTTCGACCAGCTCGATGGCATGGCCAGTGTTATTGAAGCTCGCAATCACTTCACCCTCGTCATGCGGACGATGCGCTGGATCGACGATGTGGAATGGCGTGTATCTGACATTCGCAAACCATTTTCATATGCACGCAGCGTCACAAAGGTATTGTGTGGTCCTTCAAACTAACCGAACGTAGACTGTAGCTAACCAAATTTTAAAAATGTACAAACAGAATGAGCACAAAAACTACGTGGAAACTCTCACCTTAGGAGTCAATCGAGCTCCTGGTTAGTTTGTCGCGGGGCATCAGCTACTGGACTTGTGCAAAAACTTGTGGCTTCATAGGACGTCTATCCTGGTTTCCATGATGGTTCTTCGTGATAAATACCCAGATGTGGGGTTTGTTAGCCCCAGTTTTCACGCATTTGTTAGTCCAGAGCAACGCAAACGGGTGGCGGGAGGGTTTGAAGCTGGGAATCCGCAATACCAGCGTGTCATTGGAATTGTCAACGTGGGGAATCATTGGGTTGCATTCCTAGTGGACCGACACATCCAGCTTAAAACGAACAAGGGTGTCTGCTTCGTGTTCGACCCCCTACAGAGCCAACACAGTTACACTATCGTCGAGCGTAGCGTACGTTCCGCTATCGAGGGGCTTCTACATATGGAAGACATGCTGAATTTTGAGAAAGTGGAGTGCTGCAAACAAAAGGACGGCAGCTCGTGCGGAGTGTGGTGCATTGCCATACCCGAAATCCTGCTTAGTGGTGCCTCGTGGGATAACTGCCTCTACAACCTGTTGCCGTACTTGCGCATGCGCTTTTTGTATAATGTGGTGTAGTAGAACACACAAATACCGTCAGATGTGGATTCCTTACACAAACCACAACGAATCGCCGAGTTAGGTCGGCGGCTGTATGGCCTGCGCAGAGGGTGGTCCCCTCGCGGTCCGGCCCTTCCGGGACAGACGAGTGGGTCGCTTCCACTCGGTTCTGACTAACCAAGTCAGATCACTTCCGAGGCTCCGCCGAGTTTGGTTCGGCTGAGCTCGTTCACAGCCCTGTGCCCTCCACCAAAGGATGGACGACGGCGCGCAAGCGCTTTTACAGGTCACCGAGCGCAGAGGCTGCTCAGCTAGAAGTGTTAAGGCACCCGGGCTATCCGACGTACCGGCCCGCTGAGTATGTGGGGCTTTCTTTCGCGCGTAGCGAGACTTTGTCCTACCCGGACCGACCTAATCTCTTGGCGCTACCAGTCAATACCCTACAAGCTGTGCCTCTCGAGTACTGACGGCAGGCATAATCCAGTCCTATGCAGGGACTTACCGGAAAAGTGTACACGTGTCTTGGACTAGACAAATTCTGCTCTGTTATCTTCTGGGAGCCCTTTCGGCTCCCCCCATTTAATCCTATGCTTCCTTTACAAATATCTAGTGAAATGTAGTCGTTTCGGATCTCTACCGACCCTTCAGCTGAGTTCGGGCGACCGTTGAGCTCAGCGGCTATCCGGATAGCATATCCGGACAGATCGCCGAGTACTTACCGTGATCCTTTGTTCCTAAGCTCTGGGTTATCAGACCGAGCCGATTCTTGACCTAAAGTAGGTTGGCGCATGGTCGAATCTGGAAATCCCTACACCACAACTGCCCCGGTCATGATACGAGCCGAGCTGGTGAGCGTCTTAATACTTCATTTGGCTCTGCCACCGTTGGTCCGTACTCGGCTGATGACGTCTCGCGGCTCTCCTCCACCCCCTTCGGTACGTTCGTTGCTTCTGCTGTCGCTCACGTGGCAGCTCCTTACTCCTCGCATGCTATTCCTGCACAACTCGCGGCGCCACCATTCTCCTCCAACTCCTCGTCGAGGTGAAGGCGCGCCAGCTGAGTCGATTCCTCGACCCGTCGGCACTCGTGGGGTCAGCAGCCGGCCTGAAGCTGGGTTGGTCGACCTGACAACTTCCCATGAGTCTGACGCGGAGTCGGCGGGGTCGTCTCGCGTGTGCCTCCTGGTCCACCGAGCTTGCCGGGCGACACCACTTTGGGCGCCACCAGTCAGTCAAGCTCGGCTGCTCCAGTGAGTCTTGCCTCCCTCATGGCCCGGGTTAACGAGCAGGGGTACGAGCGCCGAGAAGAATTGACCTTCTTGGCGAGGCTCATGGACTACGGATTTACCCGTTCCGTGGAGCCTTCCGATCCCGCGCAGCGGCGAGCGATCTTGCATGCTGCTTCCGCAGGGGAACTGTTAGATATCTTGAAAGGCAACTACGCCGCTCTTGATTATCCACAGATCATTTGCGATCTCCGAGCTGACAATCAAGCTGTTTAGGAGGAGAACCGCGCACTGACTCGGCGACTGGAGTCTCTTGCTCTCAGCAACGTCGACTTGTCTACTCAGCTCTCATCGGCACGACAGCAGGTGTGCCGATTGGAGGCTGCTGCCGCGCAGTCGGCTAATCTCCTTGCTTCACTGCGAAAGGCTGTAGCTCTGAGTGAGGCAAAACTTGCTCGGGCTATCGCAGCTGAACAGAGCAAGGTTGACGCTGCGTTGGGTCAGGCCCAGCTCCATCATCAGCAAGTCTTGGATCGAGACGCCGAGATCGACGTCCTCCTCCGATCCATTTCCGAGAGATATGCGGCGCTCGTCACTCTTCAGGGCATCGCTTCCGAGCATTTCGAGCAGCTGCAGGAGTCGGTTGTACAGCTCCACCGGCGCTCAAAATTTGCGGCACGCTCAGTCGGTGATCGCTGAGCAGCGGGCGGTGATTTTGCGACAGAAGAGGCTCATCCGCCGGAATGGCATTATTCCGATGCACGATCCTCACATGGATGCTGCTGCTGCTGGCGGTGGCTTGCAGGCTCCTGGACTTGATCCGTCCGACCTTCTCCTCAACGCCCGGCTGTGTCGTGTCTTTGAGTCTCGCTTCCTTGAGGCTCTTCACATTCCAGCCGGTGAAACTCGGCGGCTGGAGTTGATTGTCCATCCTCGCCGAGATGCTCCAGTGGCGAGTTCCGCTATTGGTCCTAGTGTGGCTCCCCCAGCTAGTCAAGCTTCTTCTGTGACCTCATCGGCAGACTCGGCTGCGGCTCCAGTCAGCTCAGCGGCGGCTACGAGCCAGCCTGAGCCGACCCTCGCCCAGCTTTACCGTACGCCTTTGGCGAACTTGACTTCGACTCAGCGGCTTCGACGTTATGCCAACCCCAAGTCTCCCACTGCTGCAGGTCCTCGTCATCGTCCACCGGCGCCGCATCCGCCTCAGCCGTACGCTTGTCCACTTCCCGGGGAGGATGGACACAAGGCTATCAGTGCCCTTTTGCACTCAAGTTCTCCTCAAGCTACTGTGTTCGATGGAGGAAGGCCCCGCTCTGGAAAGTCCCGTCGTCAGCCTCGGCGGAAGAAGGTTCGTCACCTTTCGTTGAGTTCTGCTACCCAACCCGCTGTCTCTGCTCGCTCTGAAGACGACGATGACGCTTCGAGCGAAGCTGAATTCGAGTTTGAGCTGCCTGAACCGCACGCCGACACCGTTCCTGCGGTTGCTTCGACGACTTCGGCGGCTTCTTCGTCTTCCGGTCCTTCGTCAGTCGCGGCTACTCGCCCACCGCCGGTATCTTCTTCCGATGTCGTGGCTCTGCTGCCTGTCCCGGCTACGAGCGTTTGTGCCCCAGGCTCGACTTCGCCCATCTCCGCTGGGTTGCCCCAGCAGCGTTGGCAAAGGCCTAGGGTTTCGGCACAAAGCGTAAAGTCCGGCCGGGTCCTTTGGCCCTTAATTGTGGCACAAGGCCTTTTTCGTTGATTCGGCCACGAGTCAAAATGGTGCGTTTTACTTGAAATACTACAAGTAGTTTATACCCTGTCAGCCAACACTCGCCTGGCATAACCCTTAAGAGTCCGATGCGCGGCGGCGACGGAAGCGAAGATCGAGCGCTCTCG